GAGCAACAAGTAATCTGGAGAAAGACTGATGGGTATCATTATTGGACTCATATTATATAAATGGATTTCATTATTTTTGACAAAGTTATTGTCTCTTATGTGCATTTTCAGTATTCTCCATTTTCTGATGCTGAAGGATGAACATAATTCATTATTCTTATAATTTTCGTCATGTGATATTTAATCTACTTTATCTCCGATCTTTTGTACACAACCAAATAATTTTTCAAGAGATGAAAGAGAAAAGAAACTGAAATATGTTGAATGAGTAGAGCTTCTTATAGTTTATTCTCATTGATTCCAACGTCACTGCTAAGAACATTCATAACTTGAGACTTTGAAAGTTGCAGATGAAGAATTTAGAAATCTAGTATGAGTCCCTGACATGTGATGAATATCCCTGCTGATAAATGTATTTATTTTTACGTATTTTTTCATGAAATAATAATAATATTATTTGCAGTTCATCTGTTACATTATAAAGTGTTGATTATCAAATAATGTAACCTGTAACTACAAAAAAAGTTTATAGCCAGTGAAAACTGAGTTCATATCTCAGTTCATCCAAATGATCATATTCATTCAACCCACTGTCTGTATATCGCTTGGCCACGTAAATTATTTTTCATCCAGAGTGCACTTTCTCCATTTATAAAAGAGACATTACCTAACATTGGTAATCTTGAATCAAGCTGAACGTAGATTACTTTCTTTTTTCAGAAGCACTGAAAGCTCGAGGAGACAGCCTCACTCAATCTTTTCAACAAATTTCAAATGTTTTAGGTCAGGTCCAACAAACATCCGTCTCAAAAAATCAACAGGCTGTTGCTTCTGTGTACGCCATCAACGTTTTCAACGATGAACGTGACAGTATCCTCAAAAAATGGAACATGCTCCAAGCTTGTTGGGGCACCGGAAAGGGATATGAATGCTGCAAATTTCCATTCAACGATAGACTGCAAAAGTTTTTAAACTGAGAGAGCATTTTACAATGTGGAAGAGTTTCTCAGCTCCAGAATATGGTATTTTGATGGCTTACTGACAGGTATTTGCCTCAAAGTTTCATTTTGTTTTAATTGAAATAATTTTATTATTGTGAGTATTTTGTTAGTGTAAAAGTTTTCTCAATCTCATAAATTTGACTTTTATTTGACTTGACCAGTCCGATATGTATTGTACATTAATGTCTATACGTTGTATAATCGAACTGGAATATAACGTAGAGATTATAATTCTATTTTTGAAATTTATACTCTATTGTTGAAATTTATACACATCATCAGTTACTGAAATACCCTGTATAGATATTGCTTGTCATTGAAATATTCTCGTACAGAGTAATAACATTTTTCAA